CTGAGTGAGGGTTGTGAAGAGTGCTTTAGCAAGATGCTTATTCCCTTTCTATCTACAATACATAACAGCAGCTGTTTTCTGTATAATAACTGCAGACTTTAGCATGTTAGTGGTGCTAAAAGGATCGGACAGAATGATACGGGTTTTTTTTAATATTTTTTGAATTTTTGTGTAGCCTCTGCAATATTTTATTCTGAGTGAAAGTTTACACTTCTTGAATTGCTTCCATAGGTCAAATAAATGACAGAGGTTGAAACTCTGAGGAGTTGCTTTAAAGGGTTTTAAATGTATCAGTGCATGAAGTCCCCTGGGTGGTCGAGTGAGCCCCGAAAAGAAATGTCAGCGACAAATTTCTGTGTTGCTAATCCACGCGTGAGCTTTCAACCGAAATGGTCAATTTGTAAAACAGAAATAAAAGTCTCTTTACAAGTCTCCTCCGGTGCTGCTTACATTCCCTGTCTGGTGAGCACCTGGAGAATATTGAGGATACTGCAGAGGATGTTTTTTGGCAGGGGCCTGCCTAGAAAAATAAACCTACGTCTGACCTCAAGCGCCAGTCGTGGAGTCGCCTGACCTAACCGACTGACACAATGTTCTCCCACAAGTACAAGCATCATGCCTGGGTGGCCGTGGGGGGAAAGGGGAACTCTCTCTGGACCACTTTCAAAAGGAAAAACAAAAGCCAAGAGGAGCTGGAGCTTGACTTTGAATTTATGCTATTTGACTGCGCTGACTGGACTCTGGATTTATTAAAATTAATCTTCTAGGCCTTCACATACTTTCTTTTATGCTTGAATAAGATTTTTCAAGCTGTTTTGGTTTTTTTGCACATTGTTCTCAGCAGCTGTTTGTTGTGTTTTTTCAAGGTCTTGCCAGCTGAAGAAAAACGCAGCTGGAAGTGATTTTTTATTTTGTATGATACTTCTGCTTCTTCTGAGCGTTGTTGCTCTTCCTTGGCCCTCCTGTCCTCCCTCCCCTCCCTCCCTCCCTCTGTGCTCTCTTGCTCTCGCACCCTGACTCTTTCCCTGCAAGTGTGATCGCTTCTGTAATGAGGGCTCTTTGATGTGGAGTGTATCTAGGGTAAGCAGAGTGCTTAGTTGAGTGGGAGGCAAGGAATGTGAGGCAGGTAGCCTACACCACAGTCGTGTTGATTAGAACTCATCTTCTCTCCCCTCAGACCTGCTCAACAATCCTGAATACAAATGTTTCTCTCTGGGTTTCCACGCTGTCTGCGCTCCCCGATACTGGCTGTTTTCAATCAAATATACCTCTCATTAGCACATATTCGTGTCTTTGCAACATACAGCATCCTCACACTTGTTTATTCGAGTCTATTCTTTAAACCCTTTGTCCCAGTTTGACTCCTTTGAAACCAACTCAGGCTCTTCCTCACAGCCAACTACAAAGCCTGAACCTATGTGAGCTGCTGACAATCATGTGTCCACAGAGGACACAAAGAGAGAAAAAGACTTTGATTCAGTCCATTGTAGACAGAAAAGATGGGCAGCGCAGGGAGGGAAAACAGGCCCGGCTCTCTGATTTGATGGATGTTTCTGATGTAAACTGGTAAGAAGGTGAGTGCATTTATGTGTGTTTGTCCAAACAAGTGTGTTTCCTTATCCCACTCCGCATCTGCCTCATACAAAAGATTCAGGCCAAGGCAGCAACATGGTAGTGCTGGAAGAGAAATAGCTTTTCATTTTTGCATCGGTTATTTATTATGTCTTTGGATATGCCGGCAGTGAGAAAGAAAGTTAATCAGCCACTGTTGCAGAAGGCAGTATAAGAGGCAGACTGTAATCACCTGGTGTTTAGAGAAAGTGAAAGAGGCAAAGGTCGAGGAAGTGGATCAGCAAGAAGAAGTAAGTGGAGAAAACTGGGGAGTGGGGGTGTTGAAGACGTTTTTGAGGCTTTGAGTCAAAATGATACTGTTTCTAATTATACTTCTTCTCCATAGATGTTGCTGCACAGGTAAGTCGGTTTTGTGTGTGTGTGTGTGTGTGTGTGTGTGTGTGTGTGTGTGTGTGTGTGTGTGTGTGTGTGAGTGTGCGTGTGTGCGTGTGTGTGTGTGTTTGCGATGTTGCTAAGGGCGCCAGAAGCAGAGCAAAGGTTAGCAAACCAACGATCATTAGGACATTTTTGATGTGGTCACCAAGCGCCCATGAAAGCATTATTTCTATGACATCGTGCAATACAGTTTTCAGTGTATGCAGTTAAAGTGGTGCTATACACCTGGGAATAGGTTTAAAGTAATTAACTGTTTTTCTATGTTATGACTTCTTTGGTCTGACATCACAGAGTTGCACGCACTTCTCAAAGCTGTCAGTGTTTCTTGTTGAAGTAGCACCATCTTGCCATAGCTGATACGAGTTGCTGTCTTAAGCCTGGACCCGGGTCTTGGGGGACTTCACCTCTCATTGCTCCCTCCACTCCCCATTTCCAATTCAGTTGCATGCCAGCAATAAAACATTTTATGGCCAGCCTTCCAACTATTCTGAGATAGGATCCCAGTCACCAGCCCTGCTCATAAATATGGCCTACATCATTTATGTTCCCTTCTTAAATTGATCCAGATCTCTTCTTCATCTGTTTCATGGATGTCACTCTATGAGTATGTGCTCAGAGTAAAGAAAGAAAGAAAAGGGGCGGGGGCGGGGCGGGGGGGTCATATTTGCGACACGGCCAAAACAGATCACAAGCATCATTGCAGACTTAGTTTAATTGTTCCAGCAGTGCTGTTTTTGTCCTCTTTAAGTTCTGATCTGGCAGCCAGTCTGTCTTTTCCATCTTTTCCTATTAAATGTCCTGTTTTTAAAGATGTCCTCTCAAGCATCTGCAGCTTTCACCATCAATATCCTTGGCCCAGGCTGTTTTTCCTCTATCACTGTGTCATCTTGAAAATGGTCTTTTAAATGCTGTCTTTTAAAAGTCAGGAGGAACGATTGGGCTCTTTCTTTTAGAACTGCGGTTTGGTGGTCTGGCACCACCCACACATACATCCTTGCCTCAACAACCTGAACCCAAACATGCCCCCCCCCCCCCCCCCCCCCCCCCCCCATCCTTGAATGGCAGAGTCTAGGTAATCACTGTAATTTACGCAATCTATACATTAAAAGACCCCAGCGTGTTCAAAGCAGAGGAAAGGGACGTTTCAGGGGAATCTGACCCAGGATCCAGATGCTGAAATTAAAGAGCTGTGTGTGTGTGTGAAGAGGTATGCATGAAACTGCAAGTTTTCTATACATTTAAAAAAAACTACAGTGTTACATGAAATTCTAAATGAAGATATATTCACCATTAGAAAGATATGTTAGCTCTTCATAGTTGATATAAATTCAAAATAAACAATACTACTGTTTCAGCGACAAACAGAAATTATTATTCAGAAGATGGATTCTTTTTAGATTTGCGGAGATTTGTTTTCCTTGTAGAGAAAGGATAGAAGGTCTGTTTAAACAGACCACGCAATGGAGGAAGGCCACCCTGCTGCACAGTTTCCGCTGATACATGATCTCAATGTGTGCACAAGTCACCATCTGCTATGCTATAAATATCACATACGTGTATACTCACTCTTCAGCAGAAGCCAAGTTGAGTTCCTGTGACTATTTTACTTGGGTTAAATGAAACGTATCAAACTTCCTACCCTTAAAGGTAGCGAATAGTCCAGATATACTCCATGCAACACTGAAATAGACGGATCACAATGTTGCATGTCAAAGAAATTATTCTCTTGCAGAAGTGAGTTGTTTTTGTTGTGCTTTTCTCTGTTTCCCAAAGAGGCTAAAGTACCACTTGATACATGGATGATCCATGCTGAGTCCTAAGCAGCTACCAGGTGTTTACACTAATTTGACTTTCCCAGCTAGACTTTCTCTCTGGGGCAAACCCATAACAAATGAATACTCAGACATGCTCACACAAGTTTTCCTGCTCTTGCACATGCCACTGGTATTTCCAGTTCATGTGGTGTGGGCTACATCATGTGAGGCCTCTCTACCCAGATTGCTTTTATGATTTTATTGCAGTCTTGATTAGGCACATGTGACTAACTGCAAACCAATGTTGGCAACGCATGAGCGGTTGGCAGAAAGCAGTGATCTTCTAGAAGAATTGTAACAACACCGCGTTCAAGAAGGCGGGAGCTGTTCACCGGGAATTTGATGCTTCTGGCCGTGCGGAACAAAGTTGGCCCAGCTCACCTCATTTCACACATTAACTGTTGTGTTTGCATAGAAGAGAGGAGACATTTTCATTCTGCAGTCGGGCTCCACTACCTCACAGAAGAAAAATGCTAACCCTGCTTCATTTGCCACAGAAAAACGGGCCAAGTTGACTTAGCCAGAGAGGGAAAATATTGGGGTCTTTTAAATGCAAAAATTCAGGGGAGGGAAATGGAAATGTGACCGTTTTCCTGACATAAAAAACAGAAGACATCAAGACTCAATTATGATGTTCTCAAGACTAAGCTGGACTTTGTTCCCTTTCATTCTTTTTTGAGTGTTTGTCCAAGAGATTGGTGGGGGGACGAAATTGAAAGGGACACAGTAATGATTTGTAAAATGATGGATGCCAGCATAAATTGATAGTTTTTTGGGGTTTTTTTTCCTTCTGTTAAAGGGACTGCAGCTTAAAAAGATCCAGAAGGCACATACCACATCAAAGAATAATTGAGATCTCTATCACATTCACACACAAAACAGGGGAGTCAGGGAAAGGTACTGCAGAAGGGAGGGGAAAAAAAGGTGTAACATTTAAAATCATAAAAATAAAAAATAAAATAAAATGGGGTTTGTGCATTTTCAAGAATTATTCTATGATGCTGTGCAGCTCCTGTGTGGTCCTCTTTTTCTGTCTCTCTCCCTTGCTCTTCCTCCTTCTCTCACACTCACTCGTCCCTCTTTTGTGGCTCTAAGCCTATGAGCTGGCTTGGGCCCTTCCTTACTACACACACCCAGCGGGGCTTTATAAAGGCAGGGCCGGAGGTCTCAGCAGCCACACTCTCTGCCTGTGCCTCCTCTGCCTTTACGTCTGCACTGAAAGCCTGTGTCAATTTCTCCAGCTTCCAGGTCGTGTGGAACAGAGATGCTGACACCACATTACAGGGTCCCCAGTCTCCTGGTTATCCTGCTGGGCCCCATCCTGATGCCTGCCAGCCGGGCCGCTATGGACAGCCAAGGTGAGGAGACGTCAGAGTTATTATTGCTGCCTGAGGTTGGGATATTAGTAGCACTTTGTGGGGAGGAAAATGGACACACAGACTCAAGCAGGTAACCTCAAACTGGGACTGTGAGTAAAGACAGACTGCTTTTGAAAATGCAGGTGTGTGGGTGCCAGTGGCTGAAGATGAACATAAGCTGGTGTCAGTGTATTTTTGTCCGTGTCTACTTGTTTATGTAAACTTTGGGATGGACTGTTTGTCTTTCCTTGTTTTAGTGTGTGGCAAAAGGAATTTTCTTTTTTAGCTTTGTTTTCCCCCCTAGAGCTTCTCCGTGAGCATGAATGGATAGATATCAAAGTGCCTTCAAGGCTGTTTTTATCACTTTGACACCTTTTAAGAAACCTGTTTTTCTTGTCTGAATCAAGGTAAAGTACATGTGCATATGTCAGGGCATTAACCTTAAAGAGAGAAAAATGTGTGCTCGCGCACACACATGAATTCTTATGAAGTTCTGCACATGGAAACCCCCCCACGCACAAACCCTAAACAGTCAGCCCCACACACATGCCTGCTTGTTTACCTGTAAATCTCTGAGATCTACTCATATCCAAGACTGCACCTACATCTCATTAATTCTTTCTCCATGCATGTTTCTATGGAGCAGCCCTGTATGAGATTGAGAAAGAGCCGGCATATTGGGATGCACAAGCAAGGGCGACACTGGATGCTGCGCTCAGATTACGTCCTCAGGAGCACCAGGCCAAGAACATCATCCTGTTCCTGGGTGACGGTAAGCTTCTGAGAAATCAATTTTAACCAGCATTCAGTGCTGGCACAGCTGTGGCTAAAGATTTAGTAGAAAATGCATTACTTTCAACTTCACTGACAAACATAGCAAAGTGGATGATGTAACAGTATTTCTACATAATTATAAAACTGTTTTCAAAGTGGGCAAGCAATGTGAGGTTTTGGGGTTCTTGTGTTTTTTTTTGCCAAGACTAAACAGAAGGATCAAATATCATTCAGCAATTACCAACAAATATGGTTCAAATATTTGGGAAAATTAAGCTTGACTGCAGTGCTTTGGAACTTTATGGGCGAAATATAGAATAGGTGGAAAAAAATACTTGTACAGACATATGTTGGTGTAGCATTGTGATAGACATTTAAACTTTAAATGGCTGATTTTCATTTTTTAACACTACCTGCGCTGACAGGTCAGAGGCTGTGTTGTCTTGCAGTGAGGTGTTGGCAGCAGATCCTTTCATTCCTGTGGGTTGAAAGGTGAGGCTTCTGATAATCAGGCTTGCTCCGGTCTGCCCCAGAGATGCTCCATCAAGTTTTGGATCACGGGAGGTTGGAAGCCTTTGGCTCTTTGCTGTGCTCCACGAGCTGTTCCTGAACTTTTTCTTTCTGATGTCAATGGTTGTTAGATTGTTGGGCTGGTCACGTTGGTCAAAGACCGACGAACTGCAGGTGGGGGATGTGGATGACCTGTTAGTGGTTTTAATGTTGATGTGTGATCAGTGTACAGGAGGCAATGAAAATCTTTTGTCTCATTATCTCATTCAAAGCACTGGGCCACTTTTAAAACTGTATTTTTATGAATCTTCCATTGTGTCCGTAACTCAGATTTTATTTTAAGGAAAAGAACAAAATCACTGAGATCCACATCCTGAGAACAGCTGGTAGTTGGTTTGGCAGAAAAAAAATTCTTTCCAGTCCACTGTGACCAGGCACACATGTGTCACAGTTTAGCACCTTTGCCTTTTCACAGATAGGATGCAATAGTAGAGGTCTTTATTGGAAGTCAGACATCAGCGATGCTGTTGTTGTTGGGTTTTGTTTTTTTTTTTAATAGTGCAACAATTAGCAATGTTATAATTTCTATCTTGACCTTATAATGGCAGCATTGTCACACAGTTAGAGTATTCAAACCCAGAAACAATGATTCACAAATGTATTTATTAGGATTATTCTGTGTTCCATTTACCCTGGACGTTTGATGGTGGGCTTAGAGTGACTCCCACTCCTGAGTTAAGATGTTCCAGTAAGAAAGTCACAAAATCAAGGAAAATAAGTATTTGCTTTGTTCCTTAGCAATGTAGAGCCATTCATGTATCTGGTGTGTGACCCATTCAGCCATGGTGTCACCAGGTGCCACTCCAGTCAGCTGCCAGCTGGAAACTGAGGCTACAGTCTTTACATGCGATTTTTGACAACCCAAGATTGGAAATGTGCTGCCTGGTCTGATGAGTTTCGATTTCTGCTGCAAGATTCAGACGATAGGTCAGAATTTGGCATAAACAACATGAAAGCATGAATCCATTCTGCTTTGTATCAACAGTTCAGGACACTGGTGATGGAATAATGGTGTGGGGATATTTTCTTGCCACTGTTGTCACACAGTTTAAGTACCAGAACCCAGATGCAATGATACAAAACTGTGTAAGAGGCTTATACTGTACTGCATTTACCTCTGAAGACAGATGTCAGAGCTGGGAGCTGCGTTCCAGTAGTCATTTCGGAAAAGCGAGGAAAAACAGGATTTGTTTACTGTGTGTAAACACAAGATTTGTTTACTGTGTGTAAACACAAGATTTGTTTACTGTGTATACTTGTTTTTTGCCCTGAAACACACTGCCCCAGCACATTCATGTATGCATGAGGTTTATGTAGTGAGTTACAAATACATAGCAGTGATCCTACAGATCACAAGTTTTACAGTTTTACTAATGTTCCTATGCACATCCGCCATCTTGGATCATTAAATCAGGGTTAGTCGTGCCGTCCTGACTTTCTCAGTTGAAATTCTGATTTGAGGAAGCATTCCAGTCGAAGATTGTGACTGGGAACTTGGAAATTCCACTTTCCAACTTCAAATGGAATTCCCATTATTGACATAGCAGCATAGCACTGCTTCATCTGAGATTAATGTAGTTTCATCTAAAGAAAAAGAAATAAATCGGATAAAAATGTCAAACACAAACAAAAGTGTGCATTTTTTTTCTTTCGCACAGCTCTTACAGAGCCATTTGTTTCTTTTAGAGTGCATTGTTTGTTGTTAGCAGTTGTCTTTTAGCTATGCTGCTACATTAGTTGATACTCTAAGATAACTTAGTTATCTTAGAGTATCAACATCAGTGGGGGCGCCACCTTAAAGATCCACTCTTGAGATAACAAAGTGTCCTTCTGTAGCGCTGTAGTCTGACACTGCAACATCTACAGGCAGCTATTGACATTTGAGAATAATTTCCATCTGCATTAGATTTGGCTGGAAATTGTTCTGCCATTAATTGTTACTTTTATGACTGGTGAGGGATTAAATCAGTTTTGGTGGGAGAAGCTGATTAAAGGCACAAAGATGTGAGAATGTTTTTTGTGTTAAAGACAAACAATATCTGCTTTAAATCATACCCATCAAGTCGCATTTCTGGGTGGTCGGTGAGCAGAGTTTTCTTTACACATCTCTCCTGCCCTGCTTTGCCCTAAGCCTGTTCTTAATTTTATGAGTGTGACTTTTAAGGGAAACTTAAATGCACCACAGTAGGGTTTTTAAATACAATGGTAAAGGGCTTACAGCAGCAAAGGAAAACTTGTAGGCACCATAGCAAAAAACAGGCAACAAATTGATTGTTTAGTTAAGGAGGTACAATGCTTCGGGCTTCTCCAGGAGTGTTCAGATGCGTCATGGGTCAACCCTGTTTTTGACATTGCTTAGTAAATTGTGACAGTTTAAATAAAGCCTACAAGTTCCTGCATTTATACTGGAGAGCAACAAAAAGTTAAACATGCTTGTACTATTGAAAATCACTTTATCCATAAAAACCACGTAGACAGAAATGAAAACGAATGTGTTTGAAAAACTAACGGTAACCTCTGAGAACTAGAAGACAGACTGTTTCTTCAACAAAACATGTCACTGTGTTTTCACTTGAAAATATAAAATGTTAACGTTTTTTTTATGTAACACATAAAAACAACAAAAGCTTAGGATTAAAGCTGGTCTGGTGAAATTTATGAATATCTAGATCTAGATCTAGATATTGGTGTTTCCATTTGAGAGTCTACAGGACATACACTGAGGCTGGGTTTTAGAAATACAACATGGTAACATGAGAAATGTTAACTGTGACAACTCTAACATCTAGTTTAAGGTGTGTGAAGTAAATGCATCACAGAAGCTAATGAGGAGCTGCTTCTCCCTTATTGTGTTCAAATAAAGTACAAGTGATTTACATAAGGTTGATTCATAATACAAGAAAGGATGGTTCACATCATCTAAAAGATTCGACTGGAACTTGAAATGTTAAAGTACTGTTCCTGTCTGTGTGATGATTGTATTTTACCTGAGCTACTGTGAATGTTGTAAAAGCACTGTGACGAAGAGAAAGTACGCATTTGGGTAAACTGAGCTGGAACTTCACATATTGTGAGTTTTTTTTCTTTTCTTTGAGAAAACTCATAAACTCCTTGCTTATTTAAGTAAGTAATTCACACAGATATTATATGTTTAAAGGGTGAGCTTAACAGTCAAGGAAGTGTCCTCAATACAGCCTGTACACACTTTGACATAGATGTAAGAGGACTGATAAAAGAAGGTATAATAGTAAATAAAACAAATAGTTATGTCAATAACTTCTGTTCCCTGAAGGAGAGGAGCGAGGTACAACACATAAGTATGGGATATCACGCCCTCGCGTGTCCTGGCTGAAGAAACCTTTATTCATGCCCTTAAGGCAGATGACGTGTGATGACACGCGCACGACCCCGCCTGCACATATAGCCCCTGTCATCACAGTCATCCCTCAGTTCGATAGCCGCTCTTCACCAAGCCAAACTGCTCAGTGGGGCCACCTTGTGTTGTACCTCGTTCCTCTCCTTCAGGGAACAGAAGTTATAGACATAACTATTCGTTCCCTTTCAGTCGATTCACTCGGTACAACACATAAGTATGGGACATATATACACGCCCCACCGAACCGGAATCGGACCACCATATCCTTAGTGAGTGGTAGACCCAGCAGAAAGGACAGCATGAGCCACCGAAGGGGCCAAGGACTTGCTGCTAGAAGGCTGATTATCTCCGCATACCACGACCTTGTGGGCCACCAAGGGGCCACTAGAATCAGAGAGAGGGAATACCGATGCACTCGCTCTAGAACTGGAGATATCATTTCCACTGGGGGAAATGCATACACGTCTGGCCATTGGTGCGCTAGCACGTCCATGCCCAAGGGTGCATCATGGTCGATTATGGAGAAGAACAGGGGGCAGTGAGTATTTACCCTGGAAGCAAAAAGATCTATTTGTGCCTTGCCAAATAAATCCCAAATCTGAGCCACTACTTAAGGGTGTAACCTCCATTCTCTCACCAGAGGACCCCCCCTGGAGAGAAGGTCCAGCCCCAGGTTCAGGTGGCCCGGGACATGGGTGGCTCTTAGAGACAGAAAATGAACACTGCACCATAACAGCAGAGAGTGAGACAGCTTCAACAGGGGAAGAGAACATGTTCCTCCCTGCCTGTTTATGTAAGACACCACTGTTGATTGGCCGTCCTGACTAAGACATGCTGGCCATCCAGGACTGGACGGAAATGCTTTAGAGCTAAGAACACTGCTAACAGCTCTAAGTGGTTGATGTGCAGCTCGCGCTGGGCTGCGGACCAGATCCCTCTCACTGATGCACCCTCGCAAAGCGCTCCCCACCCTCTTAGGGAAGCATCTGTGGACACCACCTTGCGAAACAACACCCTCCCAATCCGAGAGCCCTGATGCAGCAGCCTGGGCTCCCTCCAAGGACGGAGAGCTAGCATGCAAGACGCGGTTACCGGCAGCCTCCTCCGGAGGTGACGCGATGCACACAAACGGTGAGAGAGAGTCCAGCGTTGAAACGCTCTCATTTTTAACAGTCCAAGTGGCACCACGGCGATCATAGATGCCATCATGCCCAACAAGCTTAATATCATCTGGAAATGCAGTCTGCTTCCCAGCTGAAACTGAGCGAGGCAGCGATGAAACGCGGCCACTCTGTGCTCCGACAAACATGCGCGGCTGGAAAGCGAGCATATTTTCAAACCGAGAAAAGTAATCTGCTGACTCGGGATTAGCGAGCTCTTTTGAAAGTTCACAGAGAACCCCAGTGTCTGAATGTGTCACAGAGAACCCCAGTGTCTGAATGTGTGACAGAACCAGCGACAGCTGTGTCTCTGCCTGCTCTCTGGAGCAAGCTACGAGAGCCCAGTCGTCTAGGTAGGCCAAGATGCGGATGCCTCTCTCTCTGAGGGGCGCTAGCGCTGCCTTGGCACATTTCGTAAAGGTGCGAGGAGCGAGCGACAGCCCGAACGGCAGCACTAAGTATTCATTGGCTACGCCCTCAAATACAAACCTCAGAAACTGCCTGTGTTTCGGGTGTATAGCCACATGAAAATAAGCATCTATTAGATCAATTGTTGCAAACCAATCTCCCGGGCCGACTGCATTCAATAGCTGTCTGAGTGTTAGCATCTTGAACCTGTACGTTCGTAGATACGTGTTCAAGACTCGCAGGTTGAGGATGGGACAAGGCCCTCCTTCTTTTTTTGGAACAACAAAATAATGGCTGTACCAACCTTTGTCTGTCTCCGAAGTGGGGACCACTCGTGTTGCTCTTTTCTGCAATAGCGCCTTTATTTCCTCTCTGAGTATCATGGCCGCCTCGGTGTTGACAGTCGTGTTTACAACTCTTTGGAAACGAGGCGGCTTGACCCGGTAACCCATGGCAATGGTTCGCAGCACCCACGGAGAGGGGGCACAAGTGCGCCACTGAGGGAAGTGAGCAGCCAGCCGGCTGACCTGCAGCACCGTCGGCGGGGCGTTGTCGCCCCCCAGTTTGTCTGCAGGGGACTGCATCACCTGCCTGACCTGGCTCATTCTGCCTGCAGGCTGAGCATTTGTGATTGTTTGAGAATAAACAACACTCTTTATTGATTGTAACATGGAAACATGTACATTCATACATTTTGTTGGAGGCACCTTTTCTCTATGTGGTCACCTGAACATTTAACACACCTGAACAGGGAGTGACCTGAGGCATTTTGTGTGCAGGAGTTTTGTGCTTGGGAGACAGTGTTAGGAAAGTGCAGCGCCTTCTGGGGCTGACAACCTGAACAGAACTTAAGCGGCACCTCTTGTGCGGCAACAGAGGGATAAAAACAGCGTCTCCCTGCTGCTGGACCCCTTCTCCACTCGAAACCACAGCTAGGAGGGCTGAGGCTGAGGTGTCGGATCCCGCCGGGGGCCCGAGGGTGGGCCTTTGCTCCAGGCCAACTGGCGTGGAGCTCATGCCAGAGGATGTGCTCTCGCTGGCGGCACACTCACTTCAGCAGTGGGTGCCGGTCTCTTGCCAGTCGTCAGAGCAGCGGTGGGCCTGTGAGAGCTAACTGCGGGCTTGGGCTTGGGCTGACATCTGGGGATGATGTCGCGTCCAAATATATAGCTCTGTCCCTATCCGGGACGTCAGAGAGGGTCAGCCACAGGTGCCCCTGCGCCACTACTGTCGACGCCATCCCTCTGCCCAGGGAGAGCACTGCACAGCGAGACGCACGGAGGATGTAATCTGTGGCGACTCTGACCTCGTTAAGAAGAGGTGCCAGCGGGATGTCATCAGGAACCAGCGATCCGAGCACCACCAGGCACATTGCCTGGTACGTCTGGAGCATGGTGACGGAGCTCATGGCGTGAGCAGTGCCGGCCTGAGCCCAATAAATCTTCTCCAGCTGCGAAGCAGAGAATCTGCAGTACTTGGACGGCAGAGTTGCGGGGCCGCCGACACCATGGTTATGGGATAAGCAGCCAGAGACGGCTCCATAGGGGGTGGGTTAGCTAAGCCAGCCCCCTCGGCGCCGTCCAATTCCTTGTACTGTCCATAGCCGGGCACAGTGACGCGGGTAGACAGAGGTTTGTTCCATGCTGTTAGCTCGCAGAGAAAGTCTGGGAACATGGGAAGGCAGGAGGAGAGGGCCAGTCCACCTGCAGCTTCTCAGCAGTACGGCAAAACAGGGAAAAAAAGAGAGGTGTCATCGTGGCCGACCGGCGTAGCAGCGGCGGCACATTGGGCCGACAATGAACTCTCCTGCTCATCCTCCGACAAACCATGGATATCCAGGCCAATGTCCAGTACGTCATCGTTTTCCTAGGGAGCGCTGGCGGGCTTCAACCCAGGCTGAAGCCCGTCAGCGCTCCTGCATGGTTTCGGCTCGCCATCGGCTAACCCGTCAACATATTCCATGTGGTCAGCCCAGCTAATTGTGGGGACATCGACCGGAAAATCCTCGTCTTCGGACTCGGATGAAGCCGGGGCTCCATACTCGGAAAGGAGAGGGTCATGCCGTGCGACAGCCAAGCGTCCCAGCACTTTTTCCACAAACGTCACCCGTCTTTCCAGGGTCGAGCGCCGGAGCTGGCGACAAAACGCACAGGCTTCGGGCCCCAGGCAGACAGGGCAGGCATCGTGCTGGTCGCTGTCGTGCAAAGAGAAACTGCATCCCTGAGGACAGGGGCGAACAGAAGATTTCTGCTTTGCTCGCTTCGGTTTGGAGTCCATTCCAAAACGCAAAGCAAAATGCTGCACGGGAAAAAACTTGAAATTAGTGCTCCGCGGGCAGCCTACACACCAACTGCGTGGTGGAGGCTAACACCAACAGGGGCAGTTAAGCTAAGTTCAAGTCGGCAGACAATGGAGCTAACTACCAGCAGCTAGCTAGCCCAACTCAGCAGAGGTGTTCTCAGCGAGGTGAAGAGCGTAAGAACTGAGGGATGACTGTGATGACAGCGGCTATATGTGCAGGCGGGGGCCATGCGCCTACCACTCACTAAGGATATGGTGGTCCGATTCCGGTTCGGTGGCTGCTCTGCGGGGCGTGTATATATGTCCCATACTTATGTGTTGTACCGAGTGAATCGACTGAAAGGGAACGAATAGTTATGTCTATAACTTCTGTTCCCTGAAGGAGAGGAACGAGGTACAACACAAGGTGGCCCCACTGAGCAGTTTGGCTTGGTGAAGAGCGGCTATCGAACTGAGGGATGACTGTGATGACAGGGGCTATATGTGCAGGCGGGGTCGTGCGCGTGTCATCACACGTCATCTGCCTTAAGGGCATGAATAAAGGTTTCTTCAGCCAGGACACGCGAGGGCGTGATATCCCATACTTATGTGTTGTACCGAGTGAATCGACTGAAAGGGAACCAAAAATGTTAATTGAGTCATTTGATTTATTCTAAACTGCAACATTACTTTCTGTAATACCATTTTTGTGACTTAACATTCTCACTTCCAGATGATTGTTGTTGTAATTTGGTGACATATAGATAAAAATGAACTGAAACCTCTGCTTACTAAGGGGTCCTTTTCATGGTTAGTGTGCAATGAAACAAAAGGAAAACTTAAATTTCACTGTAACCCTTAATGGTTTTGTGTAGAAAAGGGCAGTTTGGAAGTTTAAATGACATTACAATTGTTGTACATTACTCTAAAACCAAAGCTATAAGATTGACTTTAAGATTACAACCTGATTTCAAACATAATCTAACATAAACATTCTTACCCCTGGAAAAAGCTCTAAGATATTAACAGAATATGCCAAATGAGATACAGGATGGCAAAAAATGTATCTTAAAATGAGCTCTTTTGAGCTCTTTTTCATTAGAACAGTAAAGTACCACAACAAAGAATAAGTACACATATGAGGAACAGGTATCACTGCTTTAGAGTTTTCTTGTGTTGCATGCAAAACTCTTTCTTAGTCTCCTCTCGGCATTTTCTTATTTAAACACTGGTGACTAAGAATCAGTCTCATTGAAATGTATAAATGTATCCATCACCTTTTGAATGTGTGCCATGAACAATTAAGGCATTTCTCAAGAAATAACAAGGGGAATCGAGCCCCCTTACTATCAACCTTATAAAATGTCCAGTGAATGTGTATAATGTAGACTGACCACGTCAGTGACCTTTGGTCGTCAATCACTGTCTCGCAGGAATGGGCGTGTCCACAGTGTCAGCAGCTCGAATCCTGCGAGGTCAGATGGATGGTGGATCTGGAGAAGAGACGATACTAGCCATGGACACCTTTCCATACGTGGCCCTCTCTAAGGTGACAAAACAGCACTGCTGACCTGCAGGTCATCAGTTATTATTCATCAATTAATTATTCATGTGTAGAAAGAAATTCAAAATAGCCAGTAAAGTGTCATCCTATAACCTCAGCTGCACTTCAAATGTATTTTACATTTTGTATTTTATTAATAGTTCTTCTAAGTTGCTTTCTCCACTCATGAGAAGTAGAGTAACTTTTCCAATGTGTGCTCTTGTTCTTCTGTGGCCTGTACTGAACTGTATCCACTCACATTACATCTAATGTTCTTTTTTTTTTTAACTTTTTTTCTCTAGAGTTGGTCAGTTGGTTGCTAGGAAAAATGCTTTTATGTAATTCCTTGGAAGGTTGGAATACATATTAACCAGTAAATAGCTCTGTATTTTCAAACCTGCAGTAAAACATTTCTTACTGTGTTTGAAAATTATTGCATTTTACTGTTACATTATCCTAAAAAAGGTGTTCCTCCTGGTGAAGAAAGTGACAAAGCAGGGGGGAATTTTCACACAAATTTCAAAACACATTCCAGGTTAGCAACAGCTCACAGAAACGTACCTTTTCTCTGTGGCCTTTGAATTTTTCCCCACTTTCACTCACATTCTTGTAAAATGTGCGTGTGTGTTTGAGTGTGTGTTTATGGTAGAAATACAGTCACCTGGTAAATCAGTACAGAGACATGAAGTAGAACTATCATAGAGACAAAGACAGATTTGCACTGCAGGTGAATACCCCTTTATAAGGAAGGCTGATCAGGGGCTTGAACGTGTCTTTTTATTCACATGCTTCGTTCCCTTAACACGACACATGCCACTCAAACTCTCACGTGAAAAAAAAAATCCTAATGCAATCAACAGCTGAAGTGAAAATGCTGACACTGTGGTAGAAAATGTGAACACAGATTTAAACTCATCATCCTGGATTGAACATAATCCCTAAATCACTGTGTGGTTGAAAGAAGGAATCAGTGTTTAGTGTCTTTGGTGCCTCTGATATCCCAACCTATAATCAAAAAGAGAACATATCTGATATAACACATTCTAGCTGGCTCCATCTTTTAGATCATCCCCAGAAACTTTTGCAACTTAAGTGACAGTCATTTCAACTTAACACATTAGAACATGAAGCACATTCAAGCAATTTTTCTCAGGGGAGAAGCAAAAATGCTACTTTCAATATGCAGTGAATGCATAAAATATCTCAGCTCCCCAAATGTGCATGTGCAGATTTCACTTCTAAAAATAATGACATGGTCCATCTGTGTTTGATGCTATCCTGTTTTAATGCTGTTTTTGTTTCTACTCTGTAGACCTACAGTGTGGACAAGCAGGTAGCAGACAGTGCCAGCACTGCTACAGCCTACCACTGCGGTGTGAAGGCCAATGCAAAGACAGTAGGACTCAGCGCTAAAGCGGTGGCCTACGAGTGTAACACCACCTTTGGTAATGAGGTCTACTCAGTTCTGCGGCGCGCTAAAGCACAAGGTAAAGACAGTTGATTGCTTGGTCAAGTAGTGAGTTTGCTGTGTAAAGGACAGGTCAACCAGTTTGTTTTCTGATCTTCCATCCATCTTCATCCGCTTATCCGAGGTCGGGTCGCGGGGGTAGCAGCCTAAGCAAAGAGGTCCAGACCTCCCTCTCCCCAGCCACCTCCTCCAGCTTGTCCGGGGGAATACCAAGGCGTTCCCAGGCCAGCCGAGAGATATAATCTCTCCAGCGTGTCCTGGGTCTGCCCCGGGGCTCCTCCCGGTGGGACATGCCTGGAACACCTCGCCCAGGAGGCGCCCAGGGGGCATCCTTGCCAGATGCCCGAACCACCTCAGCTGGCTCCTTTCGATGTGGAGCAGCAGCTGCTCTACTCTAAGCCCCTCCCGGATGGCCGAACTTCTCACCCTATCTCTAAGGGAGAGGCCAGCCACCCTTCGGAGGAAGCTCATTTCCGCCGCTTGTATCCGCGATCTCGTTCTTTCGGTCACTACCCACAGCTCGTGGCCATAGGTGAGGGTAGGGACGTAGATCGACCGGTAAATTGAGAGCTTCGCTTTTACACTCAGCTCCCTCTTCACCACGACCGACCGGTGCAGCGTCCGCATTACTGCAGCCGCAGCCCCAATCCGTCTGTCGATCTCCAGCTCCCTTCTCCCATCACTCGCGAACAAGACCCCGAGATACTTGAACTCCTCCACTTGGGGCAGGAACTCATCCCCGACCCGGAGTGGGCACTCCACCCTTTTCCGGCTGAGAACCATGGCCTCAGATTTGGAGGTGCTGATCCTCATTCCCGCTGCGTTACACTCGGCTGCGAACCGCTCCAGTGCGAGCTGGAGGCCCTCACCCGATGAAGCCAACAAAACAAGCTGTTTTCTGATCTTAAGATATGTAATGCTTTAAAATAAAATATGTGGAATAAAGCAATAATCTGACAAGCTACTTCAGTGTTGCTTGCCAATTACGGTTCAACGTTCAAAAAATATATATACAGTTAGGAGAACCACCCACGCTGATCTGCCTTGACCTTTGTGCCTGTGGTCACTTTATGACATGCAATTTGTGCAGGGTTGTCTGTCAAGGCATGTGCATGTTTCAAGTGAATTTGCATTGTTGTTTGCAAATGTTTGCTAATGTTGTCGTGTCACAACATTAGATTGAGTTTGCTATATTTTTGTCACATATATGTTTATTTGCATCATGTGTCGATATACTAAATCGTTTAATGCACCCTTGGCTGCAGGGTAAGGCCCCGGTAAACCAAATATGGCTGAGGTAACACAGACCACTAATGTTTTCTTCATAGAGGTCTACACATAGTCTAGCTCAGGGGTTGGCAACCTGCGGCTCCGGAGCCGCATGCGGCTCTTTAGTCCTTTTAGTGCGGCTCCGCGTGGTTTGGGAAAATAAATTTTTTTTTTAAGTAATTAGCTGAAGTGTATTTTATTTATGTTAGTTCTTTTTTAACTTCTATTAGTTTTTGATCGCTCAAAATAAGCGTCACACTTGTGGAAGCCGGTGTACCTGCCGAAACGCCGTGCATTTATTGAGACTTTCAACCCCAGGTAAGCCAATTATGGATCTTCGGATCTACATTATGTCAGCAGCTGTTCTCCACCGTGAACTATATTAAAAACAAACACCGCTCACGCCTCATAGATGACAGCTTACAGTCCTGCGTAAAGATGAAAGTCACTTCGTACAGCCCCGATTTGCAGACGCTGTGCGCAGAGGTTCAGGAGCAGAAGTCCCATTGTAAACATATCACGGCAGACCCGACGATGTTTCCATGAACATGCTTTTCAGCATCTCTTTATTGACCACTTTTCACACACGGTTGCTGTACACATACATCCGGTGTTAAAGCTCACAGCCCGACACATACCAACACAACAGCATAGATAGCACAGACGTTAAGGTGGCGAGGCGTGATTGCTGGTGCCGCTCCGGTGCGTCCGCCTATTTTTCATTTTTCAGCAGCATGGTGCTTTTTTTCCAATTATTTTTTTTAAAAATCTGGTCAAGGCTCCAAAGGCCCAAAGGTGATATAAAGGTGGCGGCTCACAACAGTTTTTGTTTGCTACATGGATCATTTTAGTTCAGCTGGGTGTCTTTCCTTTTGTTATATTTCTTTAAGAGTTTAAAATGTGTTAATTACATAAATAAAATGTAATTTTCTCTGTAGCACTTCATGGATTTAAGCAACACACCTTAGTTGTTCACACAAAGCATAAAGGTAAAAAATATGTATATATACATATATACAGTGTTATCTTCATTTTAGATGTCAAAAAGTATTTGCGGCTCCCAGTGTTTTCTTTTGCGTGGAAATCGCATCCAAATGGCTCTTTGGGTGCTAAAGGTTGCTGACCCCTGGTCTAGCTGCTCAACTAGAACTAAATTGCCTTGGGAGACCCTGATGGGGGCAAATTGCCTCCAATAACATAACTGCTGGAGATCACTAGGGCACCAAAACCACCCCACCATGATAAGGTGTTCATTAAGTGGATTGTTCTTTTAAGGCAATTTTTTAAAATTGTTCTTCTATAATTATCAATAAATAAACAAACATGGAACCATCAAACCTGTCCACAGAGATAATGTATTGTACTGTGTTGTACTGTTACAAATGTAGTGTTGACAGCAGTAACTACAACAAATTCTATGAGCGTAACTGCTCGAAAACTCCAAATCTCACCTCCCTCTATCAAAATCATCTCACCATTGTCACCAATAAAACAGATAGTTCTTAGAATTGGAGTTCTCTGGCACAGAAGAAGACACAAACCCATTTCTAACAAATTCCAAAACTATTTGGTACAAAGTACACAAAAAAATATAATTTGTATCATAAAAATAATCATCTTTATGCTTTAATTCCAAAATAAAAGTTGGTACACAGACTGTGTGAGGGGCTCAGGGGTTGAGAAATGGTGTCAGAACACAAGATAATTTATTTGAAAGAGGTGATTTCATTTTATATGTTAGACTTTCTTGCTGAGACCCGTCTGTCAAACCTGCAGCTCGAAGTCTTCTCTTCACAGTTAAACTGAGACTTGCTTACTGCAACCACTATTAAGCTGTGCTTGAAGCTGTTGTCCTGTGAGCTGTCTGTCATGCAACCTGTTAACTCTCAGAAACTTGTCCTCTGATTCAGTTGCTGCTTTGGGTCTGCCAGATCTCTACCTGACAGAGTGTGCCCCAGTTTCTGAGTGCCTTGTGATGGTGAAGGAAACTGTACTCATTGACACATTGACTTTTTTTGCATTTTCTCTGTGGGAAAGACCTATATTTTGAAGTGTTACGATGGTCTGTCTCTCTTCCATTATTAATAGCCTATTTCTTGCCATTTTGTAGCAACACTTTACTTTCTGTAGTACAATACTGTTCAACTGATGCTCATGAGGGTATGGTACCACAGTGTGTTCCAACACACTTTTATGCAGACAGATGGGGTTGTAAGTAATCCAGAAAAGTTGGAACACCTGTAGGACTTAGTAGCACCAGCTTCTAAGGCTTCATCAACCTCCACTGCTGCCGAACAGCTTTAAATTGTTAACCCATTTTGTGTTCCATGAAAACAAAACATTTTGTATAATTCTGAAAAGTACATTACTTTTGGTTTTGGGTAATCTTACCTTTTTTTCTTTTCTTTTCTTTTTCTTTTTTACATCTGGCAATTCACTATTTACTTTTGTACCATTTCAAATTATTCATTGGACTTGAACAACTTAAACAGCAATAACTGGAAGAATTAGGGTGTTTTAAAACCTTTGACCGGTAGTGTGAACTCCTGGATGTACTGTATTCTATCCATTTTTCATTTGCAGTTTTCTATTGTTTTTCAGGTAAATCAGTAGGAATAGTGACCACCACCCGTGTCCAGCATGCTTCCCCAGCAGCCGCCTACGCCCACTCTGTCAGCCGCAGCTGGTACAGTGATGCAGATCTGCCTTCCAGTGCTCGCGAACATGGTTGCGTCGACATTGCCACCCAGCTAGTCACCAATGTTGACATTGATGTAAGAAAGAAGCTATTATATAATAGGGTTTATTTAAATACTTTTATATAAATTGGTAGGGACCAGATAATTCTTTTATTATGCCCTGACGTTTAAAATCTTGGCCTGGTCTGTCTAGACTTTCACTAGATAGATCAGGCTGCACCCACCTGTTAAACAGGCCTCCTGGCCACCTCTTGCCTCCATTGTTGAAAGGGTCACTCCCAGAGGCAGAGGGCTGTGAGGCACCGCCCAGCGGGAAACGCTCTACAGAGAACCAAACTTTTTTCTTTTGAGTTCTGTATGTCCGTTCAGGCACAGTCCATACTTGATCTGTAGGCAACTCAGAAGTGGAGGTCAGGGTGTGTGTGTGTGTGTGTAATTTCATATGACTCTACTTGATGAGAGCAGTACACGAACACTTTAAAGCAAAGATTGTAAGCTCGATCAGCCCTGTTAGAACCCTGTTAGAACCCTGTTTTGCTGCACCACCTTCTATAAAATTGCAATAAATAAATAATGGAATTGATCTTGTTGGCCTATCTTTAATTGCCATATACAAATGAGCACTCTGTGTTCCCAGTTATTTTCCATTGTGATTTCCAGAGTTCATGACTTTATCGTTTTATTTCGATTATCCTGTCAGATTATAATTAACAATAACTTTAAGGTCAGTACAAAGAAATATGAGGAAAGTTGGAAAAGCCAAACATCTTTGTGGTTCTGCTTGTTGTTGTTTTTTAAAGGTGATTCTCGGTGGAGGCAGGATGTACATGACTCCAAAAGGCACCCCAGACCCAGAGTACCCTACCTCCAACTCCCGCAAGGGGGACCGCAAAGACAAGAGGAACCTCATTGATGTGTGGCTGAAGGCTAAACCAGTAGGATTATTGACAATTATTGTGCAAATATTTCCTCAATTCCCCCACGACAGCTCACAGAGTCACGTTTCCTCTGGTTTGTGTTTCAGAACAAGAAATCACACTATGTTTGGCACAGGAAGGAGTTTGATGAGATAAATGTTAAAAATACTGACCGACTCATGGGTGGGTAACTAATATTGGGTCTGCTAATGAGCAGATACAGACTTACTGCAGAATATTAAATATATTAACATTGGTAGAAAGGTAGGGAAAAATTTAGTCATAAACCTGTTTACATATATCTAAGTTATTAAATCTTATAAATGCCTTAGAAAGAAGAGGAGTCCACTTAACCCAACTTTAATCTTTATAGACATGTAAATACTTATGATGTTGACTAGTATCATCTCTTACTGCTTTGGTGATAAAACAACACAGAGTGCATGACAGCAATGCAGCCGCCAATAGCTCAGAGGTGTTATCATCTTGTTATCAATGTTATGCATATTACCCACTTGTATGATAAATTTAGAAAATTAGATCTGCTGCATTTAAAGGTGTTCTTACTTTTAAAACAAGCCATCACAGAGAAGGCTTGACTAGCAGCTAGCAATTATTTCTTTAAAACTGTTAACTGCCTTATATATAACTTAAATGAGCAAGTGTACCAATTCTTAGATAGATTTTCATATTAATGATCTGAGATTGCAGTGCTGATTTTAACTCTACAGACGGGGTCAGAAGGTTTAGCTGTTCAACTCTAACATATTTTGAAATTGACTTTCAGTTTCCATTTTTTTTTTTTTTTTTTTTTCTAACTGACAGTTTGGATTAACCACAACATTGCTGTGTGCTGCTGCATATTTTTTATTCATTTTGGTCCAACATGAACATTTTCTTCTTGTTTGTTCGTGCTTCTAGGTCTGTTTGAGCCCAAAGACATGAGATTTGAGGTTTTCCGAAATAGCACGCGTGATCCATCCATTGTGGAGATGACAGAAAAGGCTATTCAAATACTGAAGAAAAATCCAAAAGGATATTTCCTGTTTGTGGAAGATGAGTGCAATAAAACAATTTTGTAATGTAAAATCTCAGCAAGCACACTCATTTAATTATTTAGCTTGTGGATCCAGTTTAATGAGGTTTAATTCCTTAAGTTGCAAGACAATGAAATAAATATTAAATGTCTAAATCTCTTTTCTGTTATCTGTTACGAGGGAGAATCGATCACGGTCACCACGATGGCATTGCCAAACTGGCACTGACAGAAGCTGTGATGTTTGACCGTGCCATTCATCGTGCTGCACAGCTCACCAGAGAATCAGACACACTGACTGTGGTCACTGCTGACCACTCTCATGTCTTCACCTTTGGTGGCAACACGGCTCGAGGAAACCCCATCTTTGGTATGACTCAAAGCACTGCCACGTGAAGGCATTGTGGGTTCAAACTAGCATGAAAATCATGCCCTGGTGTGTGAAATTAAAAGTACAAGGGGCGAAAAAAGGGGTAAAACAAAAAAAGGGTGCAGACGGACCACTTGTGAAGAATACTGGAACTAGCCTCTTCCTTACCTACATTCTTTTTATTTTTATTATTCAGGATTAGCCCCAAAGAAAGCTGACGACCAAATGCCTTTCACTAGCATCCTGTATGCCAATGGCCCAGGTTACGTCCATATAAATGGAACTAGAGAGAACATCACTTTGGTGGATTACTGTAAGTACAGATTAATATCTTTCAGCTGTGGCACTCGTCTGTGCTGATGTGTACACAGACACCTTGAAGCGATGCGGTTATGGATGGCTTGTGCATGTTTCTCTAGGGAGCAGAGATAAATTATGATGGTCATTTTATTTACGGATTCATGGTTCTGTCTTCTGTTTAGTTCTTTGCACAGGTCTCCTGTACTTTGGAAGGTTAACAGCAATGTTCCTTGTCCTACACTGTGTGTTTTTTGTCATTGAACAAGTGTGTGTAACTTAAGGTGAAAAAAATGCCTTCTCTTTTTAATATACTTGTTCTGGGAACCAGTGTACACTCAGCCCACCTGGCACCTATCCCCTGCAAGTCAACATCTATATGATTAATGTAAGCGTATGAGGCCAAAAAGTTTTTGTGAGATGTAGAGATAAAAGAGAATAAAGGTTCAACCTTTGCACAATGCTTAAAAGGCCCCTTTAACCAGAGCAAAACAAAGACTGCAGTCATTTTCCAAATACATCCACTGGGGGTATTTTTACACGCTTTGCTTCGCGTTAGTCGCTGAATCAAAGGGATTTAGATTCCTTTCTGGTTTGTGAAAATTATATTATTAAGTTTGATTAAATAAATTACAGAGGATTTGAAAAACACAGTTGTGCCACAGGATACATGAGGAAAGTGTGATAATAGTGCAATCTAATGTATGTCTCTTATCCCAATGACAGTTTATGAATTTGTAAGTAAGGTAGAGTGTATAAGGTCATCATGGTGAATTAATGGAAACGCTGAAACATCTACTTATTCTGAAAGGTTGTTTGGTGATTGGCTACACATTTTTTTTGTTTAGATGATGAGGAGTACATGCAGCAGGCTGCTGTGCCACTGGATGCTGAGACACATGGTGGGGAGGATGTGGCCATCTATGCCAAAGGACCAATGGCTCACCTGTTCCATGGTGTAAAGGAGCAGAATTATGTGGCACATGTCATGGCCTACGCTACCTGTTTGGAGCCTTACACAAACTGTCCTCCTCACACGCACCGTCACACTCATTCCTCCTCTGGCTCTGTGAACACACCTTCCAGCCTCTTGTTTTTCCTTCTCTGTGTTCTCTTGTTGTTCAGATGACCCCGCCCAATCCGGCACACGTGTTACTTTGTATAAATGTAGCAATATGCACTAAACACTCGCAGGGTATGCATGTGCACTGTATGTGCACAGGCTGTCAACTTAGAATCCAGGGATAAAAGTACTGTATTTCTTAAGAGAAAAAAAGATTCTCTGTACGTCCATATTTACATGCACAGTTAACCAAACATGCATGCAAGCGTAGGCTTAACTTGCATGTGCTAACTCTATTCAGGTGCATACCAACAGCTATGCAGGAACCTCAAGCTACTACATATGCAAATTAACCATAATTCATATGTAAACAGCCCTCCGTGTGTTTCCACTGCAGAGCCATCAAAACTTGTTGTATTTTATTAAAGGCAATTACAGCCTATATGTACATATGTGACGTCTAACATGCACTAACTTTTTTCATTATTAAGTGTGAGTTTTGCCCATTATGTTTTTCTCCAGTTAAATACATTCAGTGTAATCTAAAGCTTTGGACAGCATAAACTGAAACAAACAGATTTGAGCTAATTTTTTTCTATTGGCCACGTATACAGGGCACAGAGCTGTAACATGATCATCACTGTCCAGGTGAAATAAAATACGATAATGTAATCCTGAATTATGAGCCGTCATGGCGAGTACCAGCGTTATCAGACCTGAGAAGAAATCAGAAAGACTGCGTTAAAATATCTGCCCTTCATTATGTGTCTTGACCTTAATAGCTCCTAACCTTTTATGTTTCTCTGTTAAATTGCCTGTCACTTGATACCATAATCTATTGGATTGTAAACGAATGTATTTTATAAGCAAGTTGAAAATGTATTTTCATACTATTTCTTTTCCTACAGATGTGTAGGCATAGAACATCTGGTTTTCTTTGTAAAATCGTTCTCCATTTGATAGAAAATATTTTGGGTAATGCCCAACTTTATGGGTCATTTCATTTAATAAAGATTGCCAAGAAAGAGCATATGTGTTTTTACATTTTCTGGATTGGCTGTGTTCCAGAGTAAGCGTATTACATTGTTGCCCAAACTTTTAAGAAAAGATTTAGATACTGATGCTAACATTTTGAATGTGGAAACTGAAACTCCTGTTAAGCCCTCCAACAGAGTCTGTGAAATAATGATAAAATAAAATAAATAATAATACAATTATCAGGCTCACTTACATGTATTTCCCTGTAAGAAATGAAATTTTGACATTGTAAAAGTGTATTCCACTGAATCTTTCAAAATCTTCCTGTTTTAATAAAACTGTTTTCTGCAATAAGCCCAAACCTGGTCCAAACAACCAAAGCCAGTGGATATAAAAGAATGAACATTTTTAAACCACTTTCTGAAAACGTCACACAGATGTGTGATCAAAGCCACCTGTACACACACACTCATGGCTCAGTTAATTGTACCACAAATTAAAATAAACAACTTTCAACAATTTGTGAAAATTGGACCACTTGACCATAAAGTACAGTAAACAGATTTTTAACACTGCAATGTAAAAGTGTGGAAGAGTGAAAAACAAAAACAAATCAGTAAATTTTATGCATATCACACTGATTTATGGTAGCTATAGACAAGAGTGATTAAAGCTATTGCTGGTAAACATTTATCAGATGGTGCTTTTTATTGCAGCTGTCTGTACTCGGGCTGACAAACTAATAAACACATCTTAGCTCAATCATCCAGATAAGTAAATCTCCAATCTGGACGTTTCTGTGGGATCAAGGAACTCACCTCACAGCCCATTGTTCCTTCAGTGGTGCAAGTTTCAGTCATTGTGCAAATGTACATTTAAATCCAAAACTAAAATAAAAAACTAAAAAATTTGGTCCAATTTTAATTTTTTTATCCTGCTGCTGTGGCACACTGATCTCCCTTGTGGGATCAATATTTATCTATAAGCGTCTAGCTAGCTGGCTGATGCACAAAAGTACTTAATCTGGGTAATGATACTGATAGAAGGGATCAAATTAACTATTAGGTATAAAGCTAACAGCAACAATTTTAGGAAACTCCTTTCTGTTTCACATTCTGCAAAGAACACTTTTGCTTTAGCATTATCGTGTGAGCTACGGTTTTAATTTCACCGTGGTCCAATAATGATTACTTCTACAAAGCAAATTTAGATCTTCTTAACTATTTTGTACTGACATTGCGTAGTTTACTGCCTCTTCTCCCATGTGCATGTGTGTGAGAGATTGCATAAAACCTTTTCCCTCAATTGCAAGTTCCTTCATGTGCCCTTTGCTCCTTGGCTGAATATATAAAGGTGCTTCAGAGTGAGGAAAACGTGCTCTTGTTCTCTCTCTGCATTCATATAGAGTCTAGACCATGGCCAACAGACATTATCTATTTTTTATTGGATTACTGATTTCCATTTCGGTGCAGTGGACTTCGTGTGCTAACAGTAAGAATTTGCTACATTTTGTTCATGAGAGCTTCTTCAGAAACTAAGAATATTACTTTCAATTTGCAACACAATTTCAAGCTTAAAGAAAAGACAGTAACAGACATGCAATGCATATTCGGTGTTGCAAAAACTGACTATTATGCAGTTTATTCATTAAAAAAAAACACAGAAACACATTTGAATGGCTCTAACCACCTTCACATTTATTTTGTCTCGCTTATAGAGGATGAGCTCGAACCGTTCTACTGGAACAATAAAGGAAGGAATGCTATTCACGCAGCCCTAAATAAACCACGTAATTCACACCAAGCCAAGAATGCCATCCTCTTCCTAGGAGATGGTAAGTCTAAGAAAGAAATTTTCCTACCATTTATGAAGTTTCTTTAAACTATCAAGTATTTCCTCTTGTACCTCAGTTCATTTATTCAGCTGAAAGACATTTTGAGTCTCTCCATCACTGTGGTGTAACTCACCAAAACATAATAAGGTCTTTTAAAGCCCCAGATTTTGGTACCACAAAAATCATGGTAGGAGATGAACACTGACACATGATCATCTGCTCGGAAAGCCAGGCATAACAAAGTGAAGTGAGGCTCTGCAAAGCCCACAGTGCATGTGGGGTTGCAATATTTGCTCTTGTATCCTTAATCGGGCTAATACCAAAAAAGGGTAAATCGGAAACAGTTTGAAGTCATCTACCATGTCTGGACGTTCAACAGAAATTAATAACAGGTTAGTTCAGTTTGCTTCATTAATTCCATTTAACCAAAACCAAAAGCAGGCGAAATATTTTCCGCTATTGTAAAACAACAGAAACGAATTTCTTTATTCCGTTGTGGAAATATAGCCTTACATGAAATCATACATTTGCTGCTATTTAATCTCTGACCCAACATCACTGTTTAGCAGCTTCTCTGTACAAATGACAAATTTATATCTTGATTATGATTTTATGAGCTTCGACTTTTGCCATCACTGATGCTGTCTTCAGCACATTTAAAGTTTTATCAATATTTATGATTGATAAGTAATATGTAACAGCTCAATAAATGACGTGTTTGTGAGAATACATAGGAAAGTTCTTTTAGTTAATGACCTATTGGTGACACATTAGAAGAGTTTAAGGTTTATATCTGATGACCAGAATGTCCTTTACCAAGTTTCACTAGCTGTTTTATTAGCTGGACCTAATGAGTTCAAAGAGCACAGTGTACTCTCTTGGCTGATGTTATCTACTCACGTGTGATTCCTCCTACTTCCAGGTATGGGTATGCCAACAGTGACTGCTGCCCGGATCCTCAAAGGCCAGTTGGAAGGAGTAAGTGGGGAGGAGTCCAGTCTAGCTATGGATTCTTTCCCCCACCTGGCCCTTTCTAAGGTCAGAACACTATGAGCAACACACTCCGTAGACTTGCATCCTTAACTGTATCGCACATACTTTTATGGTTCTAAATCTTACTGATAAAAACAACAACCAGAAAGCAAGATTCAGAGGTGTGGACTCGAGTCACATGACTTGGACTCGAGTCAGACTCGAGTCATTAATTTTATGACTTTAGACTTGACTTGAAAAAATGTTCTAAGACTTGTGATTTGACTTGGACTTTTACACTAATGACCTGGGACTTGAATTGGACTTGAACTAGTTTACTTGAAAATACTTGATATTTCACCCCAAATATAAAATTTAACACGCATACTATATTATATTATATAGAAAGTGTGCACCATTAATTCAATTCATTCATTCATTTATTCACTCCGTACGTATGTGTGCGTGAGCTGTAGCACAGCCAATCAAATTAACCAGATTTTTTTTTAAAAAGAAAAAAAAAACGCTCAAAAATGCTGCAAGGAGTTATTTTTTCAGGTACATAAACTATGAAGTAGTCAACAAAAAACCGAAATGCAATATGCAAAACATCCAAGTAGAGAATCACAGACAGAGATGGAACAACTTCCAACTTTCTCCGATGGTTGAAGTTGCATAAAGAACGGTAGGTGGTGCTTCTCTTTTGCTACGATGAGATAGCTGACTTCATCTAACTAGCAAATGTTTTCCAGGCTACGTTGGTGATACAGTTTTTTTTTAATGTGTATGATATTTTTGTCATGCTATTTTAAAGCCGGTCCTACAAGTGCATCTAAGAATAACATGCAGCTTATCTCAGAACTGACGGTGAAAATTATTCTTGGAACTAAGTTTAATTGAGCTGCATTTTAAAGCGGTGCAATTTCACAATTTGTGTATATTTTCCAAGTTCACTATTTCGTCATGTGTTGAGAAAAACACAGATTTAAAAATTACATGGTCTAATATTTACATTTAGCATAACTGCAACATTCTTTTTTCGTTTTTTTTTTAAGACTCGAAAGGACTTGAAATTCAAAGTTTCAGACTTGTGACTTTACTCGGACTTTTACACCAGTGACTTGAGACTCGACTCTGACTTGCCTGACATTACTTGAGACTTGAGACTTGACTTGAGGATAAAGACTTGAGACTTACTTGAGACTTGCAAAACAATGACTTGGTCCCACCTCTGGCAAGATTACAAACAACAGCTTCAGTGTCACTTGGCATTGATTCTGCAAGTATGTGCTGGAAGGGTGGAACGCCACTGTTTCAAAAGATAAACTATAAAAGCAGACTTAAGTTTGTGTTCAATGTGAGCCAAAATGAGTGACTGAGCCCATGAATTGAGCAGAAGGGTCTTCACAAAGGTCAAAGTTGTTTTCCCACAGACCTCTATGGTAACTAGTGCCATCTGGTGGCCTTCATATAGAATTCATGGTTAAGGTACTTCATTGGCTTCATTTTTCCTAAAAACTGTCTATGGCCGTAGCACAAAATATATATATTTGCCATATTCATCAAATCATCCAATGATTCGGATGGGGGTAACATGATCCTGCAAGTGGTCACTCTAATTAGAATAAAAACATTTCATAGATAAAGGTCATCACTCACAACAGCTATTAATTTGCAGTGAAATTCCTCCAAAGCAAAGTCATGCCTTTAATGTAAGGGTCAAGGTTTCAGGTTTTGCCCTTTCACTAGCAGGATACATGTTACCAGCCTAACAAAGACAGGCTTTTTTATCTGTGTTATAAGTCAGGTGACATAACTTTTGTGAAAAATCTAGGACACTTAATTTATGAATGTTCAGTGTTTTAATTTTCTTGATGTCAATGACAGAATCAGCATTTTCTTTGACAGTGAGCGTGAATATTGGTTAACATGCAATATGTGTGATTGCTTCGGATGCCTGCAGACGTACAACGTGGATCAGCAGATGCCAGACAGTGCTGGCACAGCAACAGCGTACCAGTGTGGTGTGAAAGCCAACTATGGCACTCTGGGGGTCAGTGCTGCCACTCCAAGGTACGACTGCCAGGCTTCCCATGGAAATGAAGTCATATCTGTTCTTCACCGTGCCAAGGCTGCAGGTAGACCCACATCCACAAAGCTTTGACTACTTTAAGGCACATGAAAATGATGCTACAAAGCAATAAAATCTTAAAAGTCGAACGTGTACAAGAGAAATAACCTATATACATTTATTGTTCAGTGTACAGCATTAGCTTACTAACTGGACAACTATTCAACTACTATAAATAAAACAATTTTACATCTAAACAGGCGTGTTTTCAGTAGCATACCTCACATCAAGTGTATATATCTAAATATATCTAAATCTAAAAAATAAATGTGTCCT